CGTTTTATGTAGACTGGTCCCGGCGTCAAGCTTGCTCTGTTTGTGCTAAAGAACTGCTTGTGCTACTGTACTGGGGCCGCAAACCTGTCTACGTTTCCTGCAGAACGCTACGATCTGATCGGCGATGTACAGCGTGAAGGCACTTCAAGTCGATGGGAGTGTTGCTGCGCTGCTAATCGACAAGAAAGTAGTCGCCGATAGTCAAATCGTAGAGCGACCTGAGCAGGGCTTAAGAGGCAGCAAAATTAATAATAAAGTTCCTAATTGAAATTTGAATGGCTGCTCTGAATATAGGCCTACCTTATCCAACTGCGACTCATGCAGCTTGCTTCTACTGAGGTTTAGACTATAATTAAGCTATTGGTTCACAATGGTTGTTCACAATGTCAATGCCTAGTGTAGTGGCAAATGAAACTATCACCCAATAATGTTGTATACCATTTTTATCCTGGCATTGTAGTATTTGTACCACTGCGCGTGTTGGTCCGTGAAACCTTTGGCCTTTTTCAAATTATAATACAATTATCCAAGTGGTATTATTATTAATATTTAGATCAGCCATTTTTTTTAAATTTAAGTATAACACTAACACTATCAACAGACTGGAGGCTGGACGGCTGGAGAGGGGACAACCACGAGCGGCTCAATGATAGAGCGTGAGGGGGTTCATCCTATATCCTATCACCGTCCTGATCATCATCTCTATCCTTGAACCGAGGTAGCTCTAGTACTATAGCCCGCGTACAGTTGCCGCTGACCGCCGGTGGCCGCCCATGGTGGCCGGTGACCGCTGGCCCCCAGTGGCAACTGTACGCGAGCTATAGTACTAGAGCTAAAACCGAGAGGACAACCACGGGTCATTGAAACCAGCGTTAGATTATGTGCAGAAAATTCTGGTGATTCGAAACACTAATATTTAGAGAATTAGAGGCGGCACTAATCTCCTTTTTCTCTAGATAATCCCCGCACTTCGATTAATCGAGTGCCTTGTGAAATACAAGAGAGGGAGCCAAGATACAACGGCCCAAGGATAGAGAACATGGGTCCCAATAAAACCAATGTGCCTAACCTAACGCCATAACCCTAATTCTACCTAACCCTAATAGAACCCTACGGCCTTAACCATACCCTAACCTATTATATTGATATAATATTATATTTATGTTGATGTAAATGACATTGGTTTTATTGGGACCCATGTTCTCTATCCTTGAACCGATACAACTGCAACTTCCAAGATCTATACAAAATTACAAGATACAACAGACGAAATAAATTGTAAAAATGCTAACACGCCCTGCACGACGCACATATAAACACCAGCTGCACACGCGATGTATAAATAGTACTAGAGTCTAGTACTAGTACTAGTAACAATAAAGCTATGCCAAAGCAATTATTCATTCATGACTATTGACAATACTAGTGACTCATTGGGCTCATTCATTGTATCAACGATCCACCCCCAAAAACTGTGTAGCGAACAAAGGACGAAGGCTGTATATCAACGAAGTACACGGCATAGCTCTCTGTAGTAATAAAATTTCTACACTTGAGTCGTAACGATAAAATTTACAATCTAAAGTATAACATGTTACGCTTGGTTTACCTACCTCAAACAACTGCCGGGTTGCAACAACCCTCAAAATCGTCCACATTATACTCAAAAGTACGATGACGACTACATCACAGTTGCCATAATGTGCATGAGCTTTGAGATCTTCAAACCATCGAACTACCCAGTTTCCGCTGCAATTCACATTCGTGAAGTATCCACTAAAAGCGTCGTAAGTTACAGAGAAGAACTCAATATATCCAGGCATATAACCAACAGGGTGTTTCTCGCCCGCCATGTTGAATACTGCGTTGAGAGATAACGGTACTTGTCCATGCACATGTAGTGCTGCTCATAATATGATCTCGCGTGGGGTGATCGCCCGTAATCGATAACTCCGCGGTAGATGGTCACAGACGTCGCAATCTCTAAGGCCAGCGCTGTATGTTATATCTTCGTGGGCGACGTCAGTGTCTTTCTTCGTTCCAGAATGCAGAGCCAAGAATGCTTGCACGATCACTCACTAGCGCTAGCGCACAGCGCAGTGAGCGACGGACGTACTCGCAGCTCACCCTGTCGCGTTATTTCTCTATTAATTTTTCACCACTACTAGTACTGGTTAACTTAATCACTCACCACTACTTACACTGGTACTGTGTTCGTGTTTGCATGGTTACAACCACCAGAGAGAATATAGATATATAAGTTATAAGATAATTATTGCATATTATGATAATGTTGATATATATATATATGTATGATGATTGATGAATGTTTTTGTGGTGTTCGTCATATATAATTTTTATTCGTACATGTTCGTATCGTGTAGATTAGATACAATAATGTAACCTAAACCAGAGCAGATTGATTTTATGATGATGATTTTATGATGATGTTGATTTATATGCTCTGCCTGAACCCAGGATCCCTATCCTGGGTTTGGGTTACATTATTGTATCTAATCTACATGGTACGAACATGTACGAATAAAAATTATATATAACGAACACCACAAAAACATTCATCATCATACATATATATATATATCAACATTATCATAATATGCAATAATTATCTTATAACTTATATATCTATATTCTCTCTGGTGGTTGTAACCATGCAAACACGAACACAGTACC